CGCCTGTTCACCAAAAGCTTCTTCGCTACTGCGGGAGTATCCCGTAGGATAAAAGTGTTCGAGTACTCTGCCGTAAGTACAGAGTTTACCCTTGTTTTCTTAAGTCACTCCTGATCGAAGTTGTGGTTACAGGTTGTTAATAGCAGCGCGGACGTGCATTACCCGGCGATGGAGATTCCTTCGCGTGCGAAGCTCAGCTGCCTCAGCTGGAACAAATGCATCAAACACCACATTGCGAGCAGCGACTACGATGGGCATGTCACAATTTGGGACGTGAATAATGCGCAGGTAATGAATGTTAAAGAGCTTGAATCTTATCATTCGTTCCTATCTTGATTTCAGAGTATCATGGAGTACGAAGAGCATGCCAAGCGAGCGTGGAGTGTCGATTTTGCTAGAACCGATCCCAATTTACTTGTTTCTGGCAGTGACGATGGCAAGGTTAGAACGTATCTTTTTGAAAATTCTTTGTTTCCATCTAACTTTGAGAAAAACTTGCAGCTCAAAGTGTGGTCTACTCGACAGGAGAGCAGCGTCATGGGAATCGACATGAAAGCCAACATCTGCTGCGTCAAGTTCAATCCCAGCTCCAGCAATTTTGTAGCGGTACTCTTTTTCTATCTCTTGTGAGTTATCGGTTTGGTACAGTGGTGTTTTATTCATTTCCAAGCATTTGCAGGTTGGATCGGCCGATCACCGCATACATTACTACGATTTGCGCTCTCCTGCTTCGCCAGTCCACACCTTTAGCGGCCACCAAAAGACCGTCTCGTACGTGAAGTTCATCACGCCGGAGGAGCTCGTGTCCGCATCGACTGATAGCACCTTGCGGATCTGGAATGTCAGAACTAACACTCCGGTAAGCTCGCTCTTGTTTTGAAGCTCTTGTTTTAAACTTCTAGCTTCTATGCAGATTAGAACGCTAACTGGGCATATAAACGAGAGGAACTTCGTTGGTTTGAGCGGTAACAGTGACTACGTAACCTGTGGAAGTGAAACCAACGAAGTGTTCGTGTATCACAAGGTAAAAATGCGAATTTTTCTTCTCATCTTCGGAAGTGTTTCTTATACTTTTCTCTTTTTTTTTCAGGCGATTTCTAGACCAGCAACTCGACACCGATTTGGAAGCTTAGACGACTCATTGCATTTCATCAGCGCCGTGTGTTGGAAGAGCGACAGTCCAACTTTGTTAGCCGCCAATAGCCAGGGAACCATCAAAGTTCTAGTTATGGCCGCCTAACGACGAAGTTTCGTTAGCTTTTTGTTAGCCAGGAGAATCGAACGCGAGATATAAAGCAAACCGAGAGATTTTAGGGTTCTTGTCCGCTATGGCAGCAGAGGCGATAGTGATCGACGCCGGCTCCAGGCTGCTCAAGGCCGGCTTCGCGATCCCCGAGCAAGATCCTCAGCTGGTAATCACTCTAGGAATCCATCGACATTGGGTTTAGATGCTTGCGCTCCGCCTGTAGGTGATGCAAACGGCAATGACCAAGGCGGACGAGGGCGACATCGACAAGATCGACTTGAATGGAGACGATTGGAAGGAGAATGCCGTGAATCCCATCGAGAGAGGAGCTATCCATGACTGGGAAGCCATGGAAGACCTGTGGAGGTATGTTTTCTACACAGGCCTGGGCTGGGAGGTTGGAAACGAGGGCCAAATTTTAATTGCCGACTCACTGCTCACACGAAAGGCAAGCCTCTTTCTTTTGTCCTTTCTTTGTTTCCTTCGTTCTTCTTTCTTTCATTTTGTATGACTGACTTCTTTGTGTTCACTCGTAGCTAGGGAGACATGGTTTTCGGTATCCTTGTTCTTCTATCTTTTTGCATGACTTCTTCTTTGTATCAAGTCATGGACATGGTTTTCGCTTTTTTTTTGGACTCCTTGTCATCGTCATGGCATCTGTGAACTGTTTGAAACTCATGCTTGATTTTCTGTGACAGATTGCAAGGGAGAAGACCGTCCAACTTATGTTTGAAACTTTCAATGTGAATGGCTTCTATGCCGTGGAGCAACCAGTGCTGTCCGTGTATGCTGTGGGACGCATCTCTGGCTGTGCAGTGGACGTCGGACATGGGAAAATAGGTACTCATTCACAGTGGCTCTGGTAACGTTGTGTAACAATGTAACGAATGGTGCACAAGACTTGTTTTCGCTGCAGATATTGCGCCCGTGTGGGAGGGTGGAATCCAGCACAACGCCGTCAAGCGGTTCGAGTACGCTGGACAGGACTTGACAGAGCTCCTCGGGACTAAGCTGGCCAAGTCCAATCCTCACACGAAGCTGGATGGTTTTGCGCTGGAGCAGATCAAAGAAGCAGTAGCAGTGAGTCTGGACGATTCTGTGGATTACGAGAAGAAGGTGGCTGAGGGATCTGTCATAGAACACACGCTACCTGACGGTCGGGTAAGCTTTTGCTGCTGTGTATGTTTTCTTAGCTCGTGTTTGTGGGGACAGGTCATTTCTGTTGGAAGTGAAAGATACACACTTGGTGAGGTGCTCTATCAGCCATCACTTGTGGAAATCCAGGAATACGGGATCACGGAGCAGCTTGTGAGAAGCCTTTCGCTCTGCTCTCCTGCCGAATGCCAGAAGCCTCTGATCGAGAACATTGTGCTGTGTGGAGGCACTTCAACGATGAAAGGCAAGAATCCATCCTCGTTTTTTCCTAGCTCACCTTCCAAGCACTTCCCAGGTTTTGAAGCTCGCTTTCAGAAGGAGGTGTCTCTTCACGGAACTCCCTCCTTGCGGCCCTCCGTAGTGAAGGTAAAGAAGAAGCAGTGAAACTTTTCTGGCTTTCGTCTTTCTCATTCTCTCCGCTTTCGCAGCCTCCGGAGTACATGCCAGAGCGGACGCTGCAATACTCGGCATGGATTGGCGGCGCCATCCTCGCCAAGGTGGTGTTCCCTCAAAACCAGCATCTCACCAAGGGAGACTACGATGAGTATGGGCCAAACATCGTCCACCGAAAGTGTTACTAACAGATTGCTCACTAATTAAAAAAGGCTCGAGTTCCGGGAACTATCCTGTCAAGGTACCGATAACAAAAGAGACGATGGAAAATGGACTTGAACAGGCCGAGGATTGAACCCGGACCTCCTTCAAAGTATTAAATCATGCTTCAACAGCTCTCGCTGCCTCACTGGTTAAAATGATCGGTCTAGCCGTGTCGACCACGCACGAGTTTGCTCTTCTAGCGTTGGTTGGTCCAATGGCCAAAGCTCTGGCGATCGTGCTTTCGATCGTGGCACTAGGCGCAACAGCAGCGCTTGATGATCACGTAAGTTTCACATACAGCAACTTCTCGCCCCAGGCACGCAACGATTTTGTGGCCACTGGTGACGCGACCTTCAACAATGACGAGCTCCGGCTCACCGGCAATCGCCTGTCGAGCTATGGCAGGATCATGAAGCAGCAGGAGATCCAGCTTTGCAACGCATCCGCCGGCGCCGGCGCCTCCTTCTCCACCGAGTTCGTCTTCGCCATCACCAAGAACGACTCCACACTGGTCAATGCCGATGGCCTCGCGTTCACTATCGCCCCTAACCTCGTCCCCACCTCCTCCGCTGGCTATGGCCGCTGGCTGGGCTTGTTCGATCCCGCCGCGAATGGCCGCGCGAGCAACCGCATCGTCGCGGTGGAATTCGACACTTTCATGAACTTTCCACCAGTCTATCCCGAGTTCCAGGACATCGATGACAACCACGTCGGCCTCGACATCAACGGGATCCTGTCCGTGAACTCGAGCTCGCTCTATCCGCGGAGGATCTCTCTTGGCATCGGTACCGTCGCGGCGAGAATCGATTACGATGCCGCCGTGCAGAGGCTGCGAGTGTTCGTCTCCTCCGACCCATCGTTCCGGAACTTGGGCGACCCGGTGCTGGAGCACAGCGTGAATTTGTGCGCCTATGTCAGCGATGTCTCGTACGTGGGCTTCTCTGCCGGCTCTGGCACCGCCAACCTCGACTTCCACCGGATCCTGTCCTGGAACTTCTCGAGCAGATTGGAGAGGATTCCTCCTCCATCACCAGTGACAGTGGTCGATGGTGGAAAGTAGAAAGATCGATTCAAGGTTTACTTCATCGTCACTGCATCACTCCTGGCGTTCCTGGCCGCGTTGCTGCTCCTCGCGGTCGTCAGCTGGCTTGTCAAAAATCCCTGGAGCAAACTTGGCTTCCCATCCGAGAAGAAGAAGAAGAAGAGCTCGTCCAAGGACCTTGTGCCGCTGCCACACGAGATTCCCTAAGCGCAGCTCACCTCCGGCACCCGAGCACAACCTCCTGGGCACAGGCGGCTTCGGCAAGGTCTACCGTGGCATCCTCCCCGGCGAGAACTCCCCGGTGGCCATCAAGAAGATGGTGCGGGACTCGCACCAGGGCGAGCGCGAGTTCCTGGCGGAGCTCCAGATCATCAGCAAGCGCAGCCACCGTAACCTTGTCCCTCTCCGCGGCTGGCACTGCGCGCGCGACCACCGCGAGCTCGTCCTCGTCTACGAC